CGAAGTGAAAAAGGGAAGGGGTACAGAAGCATTTGTAATTGGTGAGAAATGTTTCGGTCCATTAAGTCGCATACATTTTTTCATTATCTTCACCTTCTTCTACATACCCAATTGCCTTGACTTGACAGGTGCTGCTGGTCACTTTTCTGGTTATTCAATCATTCTTTTCGTCTTTTTCGAGCAAAAAAATCGATCCCGTGGAGCGCATAACTTCTTAATTCGACATGTGGGCAGGGGCGCGCGCGCGAATTGACCTCTGGAAGGCCTGTTGCCGGATTTTTTTTCTTTCGTAAGTATTGGAAAATGTAGCATTGCTGCTGGCAAGGTGCAGGGGCAAGAAGAAAGAGGAATGGAACAGTTGATTATGTTTATTATGCGTTTTGTGCTGTGTAACAGCAGTACAAAACGCATATTGTCACGGGGTTGTCTGTGTGTGTGTGTCCGCAGCAACTTGTCCGCAGTTTTCAACTCGGGAACCGCAAAAGCTAGGAAACTGAAAATTTAGGAACGTTCCCCACCTACACCGCAAATTTAAAATTCAGCTTCCCCGTACCCGCGGGTAACGCGTACGGCCCTGTGAAAGTTTTTTACGGGTAAGTTATTCAGCTTCCCCGTACCCGCGGGTAACGCGTACGGCCCCGTGAAAGTTTTTTACGGGTAAGTTAACATTTCGGAAACCACGGAGTCTAGGAGGCTGAAATTTTAAGGTAATGATCTCCTGACCACGCTCAACCTTGCCCATTCAAAATCAGCGTTCTCGCGCTCTCGGGTACCACCTACGGCCTCGTGAAAATTTTGGCGGGTAGACTATTAATTCGGGAATCACGGAAAGACATTCATCCTTCAAGGTTTCAAATTCAGCTTCCATGCGCTGGTGCGTGGAATTTTTAACTGTTTTCCAATGTTTGAACTATTTCTGCACAGACTAAAGTGCAAAGCAGTGAAAATCATTAATAGGCAATCGTTCGGTGGGCTGAACTGCACAAAATGCATGATCGCACCGGCTGGTCTGGTGCGCGCTGCTATTTATTTGATATTCGCGAAGAAGCCAAATTATGCAGTCTCATTTAAGCTAGCCGGTATTTGCACTGGGTAACGCGTCTGTGTTTCATCCCTGAACTGTAAACACACAGAA